CGTTGTAGCAGCAGTCTTGCGTAAGTGCGAAATACCCTCATATAGTTTCAGTTTATTGTCTTATCTAGTATCGGAATTTGGAAAATTGCCAACAGTTCCTCGCTCAAATCTACACATCTGTACTTAAGGCCTAGGCTTGTTTAGAAACTGGATTTGAAATCTTTCGATCGCACATGAATAGAGAGTGTCCTCTGAAAGCTTCCTAGCCTTTTTGGCTGTCGAATTATTTATTTTCCGACTAAAATTTTCGCTTTTCCATAATTGAGATGCAGGTGACACCACGTTTCTGCATTTGTCCCTGACCAGAGATCACAGAGGCAAAATTTCAGTATCTGAGCTTACTTGTTTGTTGAGTTTAAAAGTTCGGATAGACACACGCAAACACATACCATGGTTCGCCACGATATGCATACTTCCTAGCCGAAACAGCGTTGTAGAGCTGCACCACAAAGCCGTGTGAGGTCCGTAGTTTGTAGCCCAGTTACGTTTTCAAGATCCATCAGCATAATAATTTTTCGGCCAGTTTCTTGTTTTTGATTTGAAACAATACTGAAGCTAAGGACGAAGTCGTTGACTAGCTTTTTGCATAAAAGCATCACGTACGTCCATGAATCACCAAGCTAAAATTTCTGTTCTGACATCGAGCACTCATTAACGGGATCTGCTTAAGGTCTAACTCTGAGATGGCCAGATTTCTTAAATTTCCGATCTCTGCGGTCAGATCATAGGTTTTATTTACAGACGTCTTCCTTTTCTGGTTAGTGTAAGCTAATGTGTACGGAATAACTGTGCTGAACTGTACAGACTCATCGGTGCCGGAAACAGTCGATGCTTTTGAATTTTTTGCAAACAGAGTCTCACGGATCATTGTGCTGTACACATCACTAAGATTTTTCCTGGACAAAGTTCAGGTCAATTTTTATTTCTTGCCAATTTTAAGTTAGTTTGTGTATTTTTTTTCTAGGTCATTTGGAAAGGAATTTGTTTTCATTACTTTTCTTTTGATGTTACCTAGATGCAACACTTTATTAGCCTTATGATTTTGTGCATGCCAAGTTCTCGACAGCTCCGCTTAAAAACATTCGTTTGCTCGTTCCTTAATGTGCTGGTTATGCGTTTTTTTGCGACAGTGCAATGCGAAAAGCGCATATTGACGAGAGGTTGTCTGTGTGTGTGTGTCTGCGCGTCTGTACCGATTTTTCATCTCGAGACCGGCAAAAGCTACGGGGCTGAAACTTTGGGGAC